ATTTAAAAATTAACTAATACCAATTCTCCTAAAATTATTCCCCAAAAAATAAAAGATGGAGGAATTCTTCCAAATATATTCTACAAGGCCAGCATTACTGTGATGCTAAAAACAGATAAGCACACAATAAAAAAGAACAGACTAACATTCTTTTTTTTAAAATTTGGACTGGGTATCGAACTCGGGACCTTGTGCTTTTGAGGCAGGCAGCGGAACAGACTAACATTCCTGATGAACATAGACACAAAAACTCCAAACAAAATACTCACAAACTGAATCCAGCAAAAAGATTAGTCACCATGATAAGCAGGATTCATCCCAGGGATCTGAGAATGGACCAATATATTCAATCAATAAACTTGATATACCACATCAAATGATCACCTCAGCAAATACAGAAAGACATTTAATGTGATCAATATCCCTTCATGATGAAAACACTGAACAAATCAGGAATAGAGGAAACATACCTCAACACAATATAGGCCATTTATAACAAGCTAACAGATAATACTATACTGAATAGGGGAAAACTGAAAACTTTTCTCTCTAAGATCCAGAACAAGACAAGAATGCCAACTTTCATATCTTTTATTCAATAGAATTCTAGAAGTCCTACTAAAGCAAGCAAGCCAGAGAAAGCAAGAAAGGGCATCCAAACTGGAAAAGAAGTCAAACTGTCACTTTTTGTAGAAGACATGATTTTTTTTCTTGGTTTTTTAGATGGGCTCTCGCTTTGTTGTGCAGGCTGGACTTGAGCTCTCGAGGTAGCCCAGGCTGGCCTCAAACTTGTGGTGATCCTCCTGCCTCAGCCTCCTCAGTGCTGGGATTACATGTATGGGCCACCGTGCCCAATAAAACATGATTTTATATACAGAAAAACCCTAAATCTCCACCAGAAAGTGATTAGAATAAACGAATTCAGCAAAGTTGCAGGATACCAAATCAACTTACAAAAATCAGTAGTGTTGCTATAATTTGATAAGGAACTATTTGAAATAGAAACCAATCCCATTTACAATAGCTCCAAATAAATAAAGTACCTAGGTATACATTTACCCAAAGAGGTAAAAGATCTATATAATAAAAATTATAAAACATTCATGAAAGAAGTTGAAAAGGACACAAATAAGTGGGAAGACATCCTGTGTTCGTGGATTAGAAGAATCAGTACTATTAAATATGTTCATACTGCCCAAAGCAATCTATGTATTCAGTATAATCTCTACCAAAATACCAATGACATTCTTCATAGAAGTAGAAAAAAGAAATCTAAAATGCACATGGAGCCATAAAAGCCCCAAAATAGCCAATGCCATCTTGAGTAAAAAGAACAAAGCAGAAGGCATTATACCACCTGACTTCAAAACATACCACAAAGCTGTAGTAATCAAAACAGTATGGCATTGGCATACAAAAGGCACACAGGGCCAGGGATTTAGCTTGGGCCAGGGATTTAGCTCAGTGGCACTGCACCTGCCTCGTGAGTGCAAGGTCCTGAATTCAATCCCTGGTATAAAAAAAAAAAAAAGGCACACAGCCCAGTGGAAGAAAATAGCCTAGAAGTAAGCCCAAGCATCTCTAGTCAGCTGATTTTTGATAAAGGTGCTAGAACAAGCATTGGGCAAAGGATCAATAAATGGTGTTGGGAAAAATTGGATATCCGCATATAAAAAAATGAAACTCGACCTCTATCTGTTGCCAGCTAAAAAAATCAACTTGAAATGGATTAAAGACCTAAATTAAGACCTGTGCAACTACTAGGAGAAAACATGAGGGAAATATTTCAGTACGTTATAATGAGCAGTGATTTTTTGGACAAAGCACAGAAAACCCAAACAAAAATAAACAAATGGAATTACATCAAACTAAAAAGCTTCTGGCCAGTGAAGGAAACAATCAACAGAATGAAGAGACAACCTACAGATAGGAAAAAAAAATCTTTGAAAACTGTATATCTGACAAGGGGTTAACATCCAAAATATATAAAAAAATCCAACAACAAACAAAGACCAACAAAAAGGCCAGAATAAAAAATGGACAATAGATCTACACAGATGTTTCTTAAAAGAAATATAAATGGCCAATGGGCATATGAGAAAATGCACAGCATCACTAATCATCAAGGAAATGTGAATCAACACTGATCTGTCACTGTATTTCAGTGACAATGGCTATCAGCAAACAGACAAAGGGTAACAAGTATCAGTGAGGATGTGAAGAAAAGCCGAGCCTTCCACACTGCTGATGGGAATGTGAATCAGTACAGCCACCAGTGAAAATACTGCGGAGGTTCCTTGAAAAATTAAAATTAGAAAAATAATTTGCTCCAGTAATCACAGGCCTGGGAATATACCACAGGAAATGAAATCAGTCTGTTCAAGACACATCTGCACTAGGGTGTTCATTGCCACATCATTCACAATCATCAAGAAATGGAAACAGACTAAATGCCCAGCAGCTAAAGAATGGATAAAGAAAACGTGGTGCACAGACACAATGGAACACCACCCGTCCACTGCAAAGAACAAAATGTCCTCATTTGTGACAGGAAACTGCAGATCACTATGCTAAGTGAACTAAGCCAGGCACCGAAAGGCAGGTACTGTACTACATATTCCTGTGGTAGTTGCCAGAAGCAAGGGAGAGTGGGGTTGGGCAGAGGGGGATGGTTGAGCAGCGACAGCTGCTAGGAGCAAGAAGTTCCGGGCTGGGATCTTAGCTCAGTGGTTCTGCCGCCCGCCTCAAAAATGAAAGGTTCCAAGTTTGATCCCTGGTTCCCCCCCCAAAAGAAGTTCTGGGATGCTGCTGCACTGTGTCATGACTATGGGTAGCGGTAACGTACTGTCCCCTCAAAGGCTGGGAGAAAGGATTTAAGGGTTTTGAGGGTTGTTTTTTGGGGGCCATAAACGAATGGTAAATATTTGAGGAGATAAATGTATTTAACCTGATTTAAACATTATGCAAAGTATGCATGTATTAAAACATTACAGGGTATCCCATTAACATGTACAATTTTTATGTTTTTGCATATCATAAAAATTGTATCATGAAAAAATACAGTATAGTGTGATTTCCTGTTTAAGAACTACAGAAATGGTCAAATGGAGACTGATTCTTGTAAACTAAGAATCAAGAGGTACAGTAAAAGTAATAAATAAATGAGATCATTCAGGCAAACAGAGTTCCTGGAGTGGCCCAGGCCTCCTGCTCAGTCTCACGGGACCCAGGGGCAGGAACACTTCCCTGGTACCCTAGTAATCCCTCTACTGAGAGTTTCCTGTCCCCAGGGACTGGCTTCACCCTTTCTGTGCATGTGCACAACCTCCTGAGCAGAGGACACTTTTATACTCTCGCTATGGGAGTCAGCGTAAGCCCAGTTCTAGGCGAAAGAGGGTCTCGAGGCTTTGGGTTCCCTGAAAGTGGGCCCTGAGAGCAATTGCTTGGTCCCCAGATCCCATCGGTCTGGGTAGGAGGGGACAGAAGACTGCTGGCCTAGGAGCAACGGTTGCAGCAGGGCACTCAGGGCCACTGCAGTGTGACTCAGTCTCCCTGAGTGCACAGGGGACCCGTGGGCCTCGCAGTAAACACTGTCAGTGTCCTGCCAGATCCCCTTGGAGTGTTCCATTTTGGTGCCCACAGGCCCTACTTTCAGACTGTAGCCCCCTTGACTCCTGAGACTTTCTCTGGCACAGGAGTAGGCTCAGCGTGTGCTGGGGCAGGTCAGAAACGCCAGTGACTTACATTCCCACGGAGCAGCCCCACACTGGGTTCCTTGCCTCTCGGGTGTACAAATCTGTGGTGATGTCTATACATCTCATTGAACTAAAGGCAGGGCTACTAGATTTAGCAATTAAAAAACAGGTCTGTTTAATTTGAATTTCAGATAAACAATGTAATTTGTTACATAATTGTGATAAAGTAATATTCATCCCCCCAGATTGTCTTCTTTCACTCCCCTGTCTCACTGTTCACACTCCTACCAGTGGCCCCTGCAGGGCCTTCCAGATAAACCACTTGTATTTGAAACCTTACCTGTAGATTTGTTTTGGAGGTGCCAGTCCTGGTATCCCCAGAGTCAATGGGGACTGGCCAGGGGATGCTAGGCTATGTGTTCAACACAGTCATCCCTCAATACCCACGGAGAATTGGCTCCAGGACCCCTACACACCTCCTTCTATTGACCTTAAAGCATCTCTAGATGGCTTAGTAATAACTTATACAATGGAACACTATGTCAATAGTTATTGTATCGCATGGTTTTAAGGCATATTAACAAGGAAAAAAGTGTACGCATGTTCAGTATGATGCAATTTCTTTCCCCAAATATTTTTCAATCCACAGTTGGTTGAATACCTGGATGCGAAATCCATGGATTCAGAGAGCTGACTGTCCTTGTCCCCAGCCCCATGGATGGAAAGCACGGTCAGACCCCGAGAGGTGAACCTGACAGCTGCCTTTCTCAATTTCTACACTCCTCGGCCTCACCAACATAGCCTCCTCTGCAGCCCTGCTGGCTGTGTAAGAAGCCCCCACCCTGCTTGTTCCTCTGGCCTTGCTGGCTCCTCAGGGGTGGGAAGGACCACCTGGCTCTATATCCCCCTGAGTGCTGCCCAGGGTTTTGGCCTGTATTTCAAACAGGAAGACACAATTAAACAGCAGGTTAAAGAAAATAAATCAGTAGGAGAGACAGTACCAAGTAGCCTGCCATTCTCAGAGGGAGGCTGAGTTTTCAGGAAGCAGAGGCAAAGGATTCTATTCTGTGGAGGGGCTGCCTGAGAGTGGCTGTCTAATCACCGTAACCCTATGGGGGAGCTCACTGGACCATGGAATGTGGAGTGGTGGTGGGCACAGGAAAGGAGGGAGTAAGGATGCCCCAACTGGGAGAGTAGAGCTGATGACCGGACATATGGTCAACCTGGCCCTCCCTGCCTTCTAGCTCCCTGGGGCAGGCCGGCCGGGAAGATGCCTATAGGGCTGGACTCTGAGTGGGGCTATACCTTCTCCATACTTGTAGCTCTCGGTGATGTCATCTCGCTCATCACTCTGGATGCTCTTAGTGCTAATGAAATTGCCAACAGAAGTGGTGTCCTGGTGAAGCTTCTGCTCCTTCCCTCCGTAGATGAGCCAGGACATGCAGTCAGCATTCACCATGGAGAACACGAAGGGTGTGTCATATTTCAGATCCACTTCCCCTTCTTTGATAGCTCTGACGGAGGCAGGGCCGCAGCAGTAGAGGCCTGGAGGAGAACAGCAGAGTCTCAGGTGGTGGTGGGGGGGGTCAAGTTCCTGGCAGGCCAGGCAGGGCAGAAGCAGGTGCTGTGGGAGCAGGTCCTGCCTTCCCTCTGGGTAGCCTCACCATTGCTGGTCTCCTGAGGGGTGGCATCCAGCACCTGCCAGCCTCCATATCCAGGGGGGAGATCCTTCCGGGCCATCCAGCACTCATTCCAGACGTGGAAGTTCCTGGGGGAGAAACCAGAGGAGCCAGTGTTAAATGCAGCTTAGGGAGAAGTTGTCCTACTTGTCTTGTTTTTAGAGCAAGACGGAAGCAGACAAACTGTTAGATTTAGCACTCACAGGGCCTAGACCTCTGTATGAGTAGTGACAGATCATCCTCCCTTGAGTGTCCATGGCTCCCCGAAAAGAGCTTCCCTCTGCTGACTTTGTGGATAGGGTGAAAGCTTCTGGTCTCCTGAAGCTAAAACTCCTTCATACTCTCAAAAAGGTCCTCACGGCCCCTTCCCTGTCACCGCTCAGAGGGGCATTCATGGCTTTGTGTCCAGAGGTGTGACTTCGAGCCCTCCAGTGGTCAGAACCATCGGCTGAGCATTAGATGACAGAGGAGTCAAAGAGGGAAGCCTCAACCCAGGTTGATGAGTTCTGATGACACAAGGATCCTAAACACCAAATTGCTTTTGTTCAGCTGTGTCTCAGCCCTGGGGTGGGGACACCAAGTCCTGGGGTTGGCAAGGGATAGAGGGATGGGAGGAGTTACAAGCTCTGGACACAACCTTGCCTTCCTTTCCTGCTTGGGAGCTTTGGCTCAGATGTGCGGCCCTAGAAATAGACCTGGAGGTTGTCTCTCACCAGACAGTATCCTTCTTCTTGTTCTCCAAAATCCTGCCTGTGTTGTCGTAATACTCATCTATGATCAGGTTGCCGTCAGTGTCGTGGCCAGAGTCAAAGTTGGTGATCACGCGGGTGGGGATCCCCAGGCACCGCATCACTGCAGGGAGGACAGAAAAACTGCCTGTGGGCTGTGGAGTCAGGAACTAACTCTGTGGATTCCTGAACCTAGGGCCTGGACCTGGGGAAAACATTCAGGTGAAGTCTGCAGGACGAGGCAGGAGCCGGCTGGGGTGTGGGCTGGTGCCATTTTCAGCCTCCCTCCCCATGTCCTGTCCTCGTGGATGACCGAGAAGGTCAGGGTGCTACTGCTCCACCCTCCAAAGCCAACAGAAAGTCTAGCAAGTTGTCAGGTCTCCTGCCTGTGCCAGCAGGGTGGGGCGGGCAGGCCTCTTCGCTGGCAAGTCTCAGGTCTGACTCAGCTTCAGCTTCTCCTGATCTGAAAGCTCCATCTTCAAACCAAAGAGTTGTGATTCTATTCCTTTCTGCAGTTAGAATGACTGACCGAGACCATCAGGTTCTTAGGCGAAGGTTCTGTGGCTTGTATTTCCTCTGATCCTAGAAATACTATTTTGGAAGCTTGTTTAAGAAAGTACCACAGAACAAGCCAGGACAGGAAGGAAACTATCTAACAAAAACTTAGGAAAGTGAGGGTCTGTACCTGGTAGAGAAAGTCTTGAAGGGAGGTAGAATGTTGTCTTTATTCTTGAGGGGTCGTCATCCCCTCTGCCAGCCAACTTCTCTCTTTGTCCTTTGCTGCATCTCCTCCAATCTGTGCTCTTTTAAGTACAGCGAGATCTCCTGTCCTATGTCACTACCAAATGCTCTGTCCCCTCAGGTCCAGCAGTGATGGCCCACTGAGTTCAATGACAATGACACTAACAACACCAGCAACAACAGCAGTGTCAACCGCCAGGCACGGTTTTGTTTCACGTACACCACACTCAGAACCGTCCATGTGGCATTTGCTATCATTACCTCTATTTGAAGACAAAGTTTGCTCCTTTGACCAAAGTCCCAAGTCCTGCTTTCCCAGTCAAGCTTGTCCCCAGGACTCAGACCGCTCTCAGTAGCAGGCCCACAGTTCAGCATTCTAATGTTTTCATCTCACCATATACCCCAAGCATTTTCCCAGGTTATCAAATATTTGCCAAGAGATTTCTAGTGGTGGTCATTTTTGGATATTTAGTTGATTTCTAATATAATTGTTTAAATAGTGCTATGGTTAATATTTTTGTAGATCAACATCCTGCTCCATCCCTTGGGACAGATTCCAAGAAGTAAAATGACTAAGTAAAAAACAGAGATATTTGTAAAAGTTCTTCACACGTATTACTGTCGTTTTTTTAAAAAGTGCTTGGAATTTTTAGCGTGAACACTGAATTGCTTATAGACCCAGCTGAGGCTTCTTGTACGACAGTTGGTCACACAGCCCTCCAGGCCAGGGTAGGGGCCGCTGCTGGAAGCCTTGGAGTGGGGAGGGGCGCCTGAGCTGACCCGTGAGTGACAGGTCTGACCAGGGCCAGAGAACTGGGGCAGGCGGTAGGCAGTGCCAACAGTTGGGAGGAAGGCAGAGGTGACCCAGGACAGCCTCAGAAGGGATGGTGAGGGCTGAAATGCTCCCACTGAAGAAACACGAGATAAGAGCCATAGAAGAAAGGAATCAGGAGCAGCGATGATCCCGAGGGAGCGAGGGTGGGGAGTGGCCCTCCTCTCTTCACTCTGACAAGGCCCTAGATGGCCGCTTGAAGGGCCCGTGGCAGTATCCACTCCTGCTAAGTGTGGCCTGCCAGGCACTTTCCCACGTGGACACAAACCTGGTCAGCATGTAGAGGGTCAGAGGGTCTCCTTTTCAGGGTATGGGCTTGTCGTGGGTTACAGTCCGTCTTCCTGAGGGCAGGGACTGTGTGTTCCCCATGTCTGTCATCACACAGCATCCACAAGATGAGGCAAGGCCTCCTCTGGACGTCTTGGTGTGTCTTTGCCAGGTGGAGGAATGAATAATACCTCATGAACTTTATACCCACTCTGGCGATTCCTGACTGCAACTCAGCACTGGCATAATGGCCAGGTGCCGTGCACTGGGCGCCAATTCAACTGTCCAGAGAGCATAGGCTCTCGGTGCGTGGTGATGGCCTTGCTCTGATCCCTTCTGCCTTCCTCAGCACAGCTTGTGCGAGGACTGGGCTAGGAAACAGATGTCTCAGGGGAACAGAAGGCAGCTACAGAGGGGCAAGCGTGGTTGTACACAGTCATCGGAGCACACGTGGAGGAGGCTCTTGGTGTACAGACCTGAAGCCGTGCGTGTCCGTGCTTCCCTGGGCCTTGCTCCTGTCTGTCTTCTCAGTTCTCCATAGGAGCTCTCCTGTCCACGGCTTCCTCTCTCACGCTTCCCTGCCCAGGACTCCCGAGAGAGGAGCGTGAGCCTGAACGGAGACCTCCCTGTCACTAAGCACATCTGCCACGGAACCTGCTGTCCTTCAACCTTCCCAGTCCTCCTCTCCATCAAGGGCATCATCACCACTGCGGGCATCAGCCACAGCGCCATGCCCTGCGTAGGCGTGATCTCACTTAATCCCCCCACCCTGTGGAACTCCCTCAGCTCTAAAGATGAGAAGCCAGAAGATTAGAGAGGCAAGGTCAAGGGGTAGGAAGAAGAAAGCCAGGTCAGCATTGAGGTCCTCATCGCTCTGATCTCAGAGTCTCCCCGCTCTAACGATGAGCCCCACCTCTGCAACTGTTCCAGGACTGCAGCAGCCACACCTTGGTCTCTGCCTGCCTTCCTTTGTGAGGTTTTTGCCAACTGCTCCAGGCCTGATCTCTTGCATATTTGCATTCATCTGTGTCACATGCTGAATTAAACTCTCATTTACAATATCTGTCCGGTCAGCCAAATTACAAATCACCTTAAAGTTGGGCTCATATCAGATGCTTTACTTGCTTCTCTTTATTCCTAGCATAGTGCTGAGTTGATGCTTATTAACTTTCTGTTGAAGTAAATTGTCTTTAGCCTGCAAATAAAATTTCTGCAGATTATCAGTCCTGCTGCCTCACAGTTTGACATGAGATTCAGGCGCCTCTTTCACTGACAATTTTCTGTGATCTGCATCTCTCCTAAAGGAATGCATCCCGGCAGGCACTTATGTCTGTGCACACGCACACACACGCACACATGCTCATCAGCAACAGTGGGCAGAGATGGGCAAGATCCAGAGTCAGGCAGTACTGTAGAGTTCTGTGTCTTCATCAGTGATAAGTGAGCCTGGCAATGACCGAGCATGGGGTTAGATGCAGAAGATGCAAAAACGAAAGGCCCTTGGGCCCTTAAGGAGCACAGCTTCACCTTTTCTTCTTTGCAGCGCTAGAGACCAAACCCAGGACTGCAAACGTGGTAGGCAAGAGCTCTGTCATGGAGCTGCATCTCCATCCCTTCTATTCACACACACACACACACACACACACACACACACACATTTTAGACAAGGTGTCACTAAGTTGCCTTGAACTTGCAATCTTCCTGCAACCCCAAGTCCTGCACAACCTCGCTCCTGAATGGTGGTAGACACCATCCTGATGGTGTATTAAACCAAATATGTTTCGGGATTGGCTGTGAAAGCTTCTGACCAGTTCTTTCCCTACCCCTCATTGTGGAAATGTGGTTCCAGTTTTACAAGAAAAGTCGGAGGCAAGTTAGAGTCTAACTTGCTGAAACTCATTTGATCAGCTATGCTGGTATATCTCCGTGGCTTATATTGGGGCATATAGTCAAAGCTCCAGCTCATAGTCAAAGTGATCACCCTTAAATGTGATGACTTTTATTACCTTTAAATTCCTCCAGCCAGGTGTGGTAGTGTTCACCTGTAATCCCAGCACTCAGGAAGCTGAGATAAGAAGATCCTCATGAGTTGGAAGCCAGCTTGGGCTACATAGTAAGTTCAAGGCCAGCCTGAACCACATAGCGAGACCCTGTCTCAAAACAACAAAAAATGAACAAATTTCTCCCTGAATCCATTAAGTTTACATATGATAAAAATATTTCCTGGGGCAGGGGATTTAGCTCAATGGTTCCACCGCCTGCCTCGCAAGCACAAGGTCCTGAGTTGGATCCCCAATACCAAAAAAAAAAACCCCAAAAAACAAAAACCAAAATTGTTCCTTAAAACCAAGATGATCACAGCCTTCCAGATATGCCATTGTGAGGTCATATTTAAGTTGTTCTCTTCCATCTCCAATGGCAATGAAATAAAATCTTATTTGTTTCCTTAATGGTATTGTTTTTAATTTAAAAAAAATTTTTTTTTGGAGACAAGGTCTTATTACATTGCCCAGGCTGGTCTCAAATCCTTGGGCTCAAGTGATCCTCCTGCCTCAGCCTCCTGAGTAGCTAGGACTATTGGTGCTCCCCATTGCACCTAGCTCCTAACAGTATCTTAAATATGCAAAAGTATAGCATCTGTTTTTTATGATAATAGCCAGTCTTCTAGAATGCGTTAGGGAAAAGCCCTACCCAAATTATTTTTTGATAACAGGATACGCATCAATCACAGACACTGAGTTCTGTCTGCTATTAAGAAGCACAGGTGAAGAGCCGCGCGGGCAGAGCGCCCAGGACTGACTGAGCCCAGCTCTGTCTGTCTGGCTACGCCTACTTGAGACCAAGAGCTGGTAAGGACCCCCCTGGGCACGCCCACTAGCCGCCTGTGGAGCTGCCCGGGCGCCTACAACAACAGAGCCCCTCCCCACTGCCTCCGGCCTCTTGGCTGTGCAGCTACCTGGTTCCACACTACAGAAGCACAGGTGGACATAAAGGCCAATGTCCTGAGCTGCAGATGTGAACAAGAGAAAGAGGGCCTCTCTCAGGCTCCCTTATGATAATTGAAGCCCACTGGAAAAGTGAAGAGAATCTCTGCAATGAAGGCACACCAGACCACTGTACTTGGTAAGTTAGAGGGATCATCACCTTCCATCAAAACCTGCACTATCTTCAGGAGAAAGGCAGCTGGAACCTGGAATAGAACCTTGCATAGTTCAACCCTGCAGGAGAACAGGGAGCTCAACTTGGGACTTGCAGCCAGAAATCTGCCTGAATCTCATGGGTCT